TTCAGCGTCTTCACCACTTTTGCCAGACGGGAGCGGCCCAGCTCACCGAACAGAGGCTCAGGGCAGGCTGGGTGGGCAAGAGGGGGCATTAGGCCAGAAACCACCCCCCCACAGACCCAAACCCTACACTCTCCTCAGGTTACCCTCACTTACTGTCTGTGAAGAAGACGTGTGCTGCTTTGTAGGTGAAGGTCGGGGTCCCACGGAAGTCTGCGATCAGGGCCTGCACTGACTGGGGAATGCAGACCACACTCCAGGCCTGGCCCTGTACCCCCTGACCCATCCACCCCCTGCCCGAGCCCCCAGCTGCCACCAGTGCCCCCATGCATGTGCAGATATGCAGAGGCATGCACCCATGCATGCTCACACACACTTGCTCACATAAGCACCTTCTCCGTGGGGCTCAACAAATAAATGGCCTCCAGGCTGGGGATGGGTTCTCGCCGCTTGTTGATGTCTTCAACAACTAGGAGGGACAGAGAAAGGGACACATAAAGGGGGCACTGGGACTGGTGCACATGGTGAGTGGCAGATGTTAGCAGTGTTCTGCACATTCGGGGTCACAGTTCGCACCCCAGGGGCCTCCCACAGAAAGCTGTGCATTCTGGGGGCCCCACACTGAGCTCACCCTCAGTTCTACACAGGCTCCCACACACAAGGGTTGAACAGCTGGGGAGACCGACCCCTCAGGGGCCACAACTACAAGTCCTGTGGGGGAGGGGTCTCCACCCATCCTGCATTTCCACACTCAGGCCACATCTGGGGAGCACGGGGTGGGGGTGTCCACTCACTGGTGATGCCCTCTTCCAGGATGTCTGACATCTTGCAGCAGGATGACAAAATGCGCATGCTTGGGTGGTCCATGATGAGCACCTGTCCAGATGGATGGACAGATGGACCAACAGACAGACAAGTGAGCAGGAGAGGCTGAAGCTCCCCCACCCAGAAGTGGGGCTGGAGTGGTGGGCAGGGCTGTCAGCTTCAAGAGCTGGCTGAATGAGGGGACCCAGGACCCCACCCCATCCCATCCCAGACCCACCCAGCTTCCTCAGGGAGTTTGGAATGTGGTCCCACATTCAGGGAACCACCCCCCATCTGGACAGAGCACTCTGCCTCGCCCCTACCTTCCACTCCCCGTCCTTTTTGACGCTTCGGATGACTCCACTCAGAATTTCTGCAGGGGAGGGTGGGCTCAGGACACTGGGTTCTCTGGCCCCACCACACTCCAAAACCTTAGGAATCCCAGGTTGGACTTCCATCTTAACTACTGTTTACCACCCCCCATTCTGTGAAGTAGCTGTTGGTGTCGTCCCCAACTTATAGACAGGGAAACTGAGGTTCAAACAGGGCAGGTAACTAGACTGAGTGGCCTGAGGGCCCAAGTGGCCCGGAGCCTGATACAAGAGTAGCTGCTAAATAAATATACTTTAAATAAACAATAATTAGAAAGTCAGGTTTTCCTGCCTCCAGAGCTGGACCCTTGGCTTCCCCACAGACCGCCTCGAGTTCTCCTGGGGTGGAGGTTTTGGCCAAAGCGCTCACTCCCCCTCCATCAGTTTCCACTGGACTGGAGTGCAGGACCCCCTGGATCCCCGCTTTGAAATGTGCCTGGCTGAGGTTGTTTTCCGTCACCCAACCTTCAGCCTCAGTTTCCTCCTCTGTAAAATGGAATCAGTGGCTTTCCCGACTGCAGGTTAACGACTCTGTGATAGGCTCCTTTTCTCGTTAGGGTGCAGGGGGTGTGAGTCACACTCTTCCCTGCCTAGCTGAGGGGACAGAAGGGAAGGGATGGCCCCGCCCTGCCAGAGTGTCAACATGGTTATCAGGACAGCCAGGGCGGAAGGAGCAGCTGAGGCCGGAACCACCCAGGGGTTCGGAAGGAGGCGATCTCCACCCCTCCCCCAAGAGCCCGGCCCACACGACCTGGACGCCTGGGTCCTCACGTTCCAAGGGCTTCAGAAAGGGGGGCGTCCCCCACCCTGGGCCTGAACAGGGGGTCTGGACACACCCCCTGAAGGTTCACACCATCTGGGGTGCGCTGATCAGAGCACCCAGCCCAGCCCCAGTCCGCCGTGTTGGGCACCAAGAATCCAGCCCCGCGGACTTCGCGAGGCTCAGAGATCCGGGAATCTGGACGTCCAGCTGTGCCTTCCCCTCGTCGGCCTCAGGGGGCTCAGGCATCCGAGCCCCGACACCTGCCTACGCCACCCTTTGGGTCGCGGAGTCCAACTGCCCAACTTCGTTCAGCTCCGGCTGGGGAGAGCCGGGACGGCGAGCTGGAACCACCTTCCTGCCCGCTCCCTCGAGGGCCAGGTGCTAGACGCCCAGCCCGGCCCCAGCTCCCCGCCGCCAGGGTCCCAGACTCCGTGCGCCCTGGGCCCCCACCCCCAGGAGACGCAAGAGGCCCGGCCCGGGGTGTCACTCACTTTCCCCCACCACCGCCTTCAGGCCCGAGGGCGCCATCTTCCCCAACGGCATAGCCGCTGCTTCCGGGTCTGTGCAAGGTGGGGGCGTGGCCCTCAGCGTCACCCACGTGGACCCCGCCCTGCAGGACCTGGCCCTGCCCCTGCACACCTGGCCCCACCAGGTTCTCGGAACGTGGGACCCTTGAAGAGTGGAGGAGTGGATTTGCCGGAAAAGGCCGGCACCAAGTTTCGGGAGGGGCCCACCTCGACGGCACACAAACGCGAGCTCAGACGCGGGTCCCCTGCTTTCGTGCAGCGAGAAAGTGGGACCGCGGGGCAGCAATAACCCCTTCATCTTCCCTGGGCACATCCACGAGCTTCTCCGAGGCTGAGGGGTGCTGTGTGCCCACACGGGGCAGCAGAGTTACAAATCCATGACGCACTTACCTTCTGTGCCCGATTTTAGCAGCAGCAGCAAGTTCTGCAACATTTGGTAAACTCAGGAGTTGGCCTGGAGGGAGGGTTAGAGAGAAGCCAGCACCTGCTGTGTACTCCGTCCTCCCAGAGACCCTGAGAGGGAGTACAGTGTAGCAGTGACACCCGGCTCACGGCTGCCTGGTGAGTAGGCTTACTCAGATTCGAATCAAGAGTTTGTTCCAGGAGAAATGCTCCTCACAGCCTTATGCTCACTGGTTGCATGCAAACACGCACAGGCGACAATCACATTTGTAGTCTGAACACACGTGGATTGAATGGCATGCTCGACCACTGGGACACTCACACGCACCTCAATTCACACTCAACTTGAAACCTTAGGGCCTGCTCCTGCTGTGTGCCAGCAAAAGGCTGACATCCCATCTCAGACAGGGCGCAGTCCAGCAGCACCCACGAGAATGAGGTCTCAGATTCAAAGTGTGATGCACATTTGTGAAGGCAGAGTCCTGAAGTGGTTCCTTCATTCAGTGACTATTAAAGAGTAGACCACGCACCAGGACCTTTGCCCTTTACGTGGGACAAGATGGGACAGACAACAGAAGTTCTGCCACATGCAACTTACAGTTAAGTTTAGGAGGGAACAGAAAATAATCATTTCTGTCCCACAGGAAATAGTGCTATGGTAGTAAGTGCCATGTCGGAGTGCTTTATTGGGGGTGGTACCCCTATCTGAGGGGGTGGCCCTGAGACATAATGGTGAGTGACACCAAGCAGCAGCCATGCAGTGATCCAGGAGAGCAGGGGGTGGGGGGGAGAGTGGACAGAAGGTGAGACCGGAAGAACTGCAGCTCCCTGTGTCAAGGACAAAGCAGGACCAACCCAGCCCGACCTACCTAGGACTGAGAGGTTCCTGGGGCACAGGGCCTTGCTACCATGGGACCAGTCCCAGGTAGAGTGGGAGGGCTGGCCACCCCGGACCAGGGTTTGGGTTTTTTTTCTCACCTTTCTTTCTCTTTCTTTTCCTTTCCTTTCCCTTCCTTCCCTTCTTCACTCTTTTGTCTTTCTCCTTCCTTTCTTGTTTTTCTTTTCTTCCTCTGTCCTTCCTTCCCTCCCTGTCTCTCCTTTCCTTTCTTTTCTTTAACAGCTTTATTGATACATAATTCACATATTAGTACAATTCACCCACCGAGAGTGTACAATTCAATAGCTTTTAGCATACTTAGAGTTGTGTCACCATCATCAGTCCATTCCATACCATTCCCATTATCCCCAAGTTGTTTGAATTTTCTCCAAAGGACAATGAAGACCAAGGGAGAGTTCTCAGCAGGGAAAGGAGGGGATCACTGCAGCTCCCAGGGTGGGGGAGGTTAAACTTCAGGCGCCAAGTGCGGAGCTGGGAGACCACAAGGAAGCTGGGGTCACCTCTAGCCCCACAGCTTGTCTCCTAAAACCCCACACATACTCAGTGAGCAGGCTTTTCAGCTGCTATGGGCTGAATGGGCTCCTGTCCACCCCCTGCCAAAATAAAGTAGGTGGGAACCCTGACCCCCAGGACCTCAGAATGTGACCTTATTTGGAAATTGGGTCAACGTCTTTGCAGGTGAGGTTAGGGGAGGCCATACCACAGTAGGGTGGGTCCCTAATGCAATATGATTGGTGTCCATGTCTTATGACAGCCATGTGGAGCCATGTGAAGGACACATGAGGAATGCCATGTGGTGACAGAGGCTGAGACTGAAGTGCTGTAGCTACAAGCCAAGGCACACCAAGGTCTGCCAGCAAACCCTCAGGAGCCACGAGGGGCAAGGGAGCACCCTCCCCGGCATGTCTCAGGAGCACAGCCCTGCTGGCACGCTTTCAGACGTCTGTCCTCCAAAACTGTGACAATAAATGCCTGTCCTCAGATGCCCCATTTGTGACACATTAAGGCAGCCCCAGGAAACTAATACAGCTGTGGTAGAGCAGGACATCCTGTTGGCATCAAGGACTTGGAGCCATGGACAGGAAAGTGATGCCTGGGAAGGGGGACCGAGCTTCGCATTCTGTCAGGGGTGGTAACAGTGTGGCCTGTTTATTCCAGGAAGAAACTTTAATTAGTTTCCAAAAAGGCATCTCGGGGAGGGGCGGGGATGGGGTGTGGGTGGGACCCTCCAGCGACATCCACTCCCAGAACTCAGAGGGAAGCCATAGCTGCTGGGGTGCGGGAGAGCAGCAGGCTTTCCTACTGCCCCCCTTCCCCGGAATGTAGCCTCCAGCCCCCAGGCAGGGCTGGGGTACAACTCAGAGACAGCTGAACTTGGCATCGGTGTCGGGGAGGCAAGAGATCCTGGACCTTGCTTTGGGGCCTATGGGAAGCAACCAGACCCAGGGACAGTGAAGAGGGGTAGACCTCGCCAAGAGACAGAGATGGAGCCAGGCTGCTGGTGGGTCCTCTGGGGTCTTCAGGTCCAACTGCCCTCCAGTCGGGCAGGTGAGACACCTGCACTGCTTCCTGCGTCTGGGCGGCAGGCCCCTCCGAGCTGCCAGGTTGGCCTGTCCTTTCCCAGTAGGGCCCAGACAGCCCCCATCCCACTGTGGGGACACAGCTCTGGCTGGTCACTATGCCCCACCTGAGAGTCCTTGGGGCACAGTGAGTCCTGCTGGGTCAGCAAGGTCCCAGCCCAGGCCGCCCTGCTTCCTGCCCCCACAGCAGCCCCAGCATTTCGCAGCAAATACGATTATCTGGATCATCTTTATGGGGCTTAAGCTTAGGTGGGAGCAGATGCGGTATGAAGAGGGGATTTGGGGCTGTGTATCCACTGTCCCCACGTCTGTCTTTTAAAAAGCCTTGCCTGGCACAGGCCTGGGCCAGAGGCTAGCAGAGAAGTGGATCGGGCTCAGGAAGCAGGAACAAAGATGGACCAGGAAGAGGGGGTAGACAGGGGCTCAGCTCCCTGCATCAAGGTAAGCAGATCCCACCCCCATATGCCCCCAACTCCTCAAGAGCAATGAATGACAAGACTAGCTAGTTTGTAGGGCACCTCATTAGCAATTGGGTCTCCTGGGACCACTGACCCAGTTTGCTGCCCCAGAAAGTGCTGGTGGGCATGAGGGTCTGAGTGCCCAGCCCAGCCCCAGGGCAGAGGTCGGTGCTCTCAGTGATGGTCTTGGTGAGCTGGGGGGATGCTGGGATCTGGGGACAGCCCCTGGGATTTCTCCCTGGCTGGTGCCCTGTAGTCAGGCCCCAATCTAGGACGACAGGCTGCCAGCAGCCTCTCCCTTGAGGCAGAACCACGTGCAGCGGCACTACTGGCCGGGTCCTGGGGGCTCCGGTTGGTAAGGAGACTCGTGTCTCATTTGCAGCAGCTCTGCAGAGCAGTACATCAGCAGGGACCATGGTGAGAGCCAAGGAGGAGGGGAGGAAAGACTCCAGAGTCAGGGTGGGAGTTAGTGAGGGGTCCCCCAACTGAGGGGCCAGCTGGACCAGGTATGTCTGTCTCCCAGGCAGGCTCCCCAGACCAAGAAGGCTTCTTCAACCTGCTGAGCCACGTGCAGGGCGACCGAATGGAGGAGCAGCGTTGCCCACTGCAGGCAGGGCCTGACACCGCCTCCAAGAATGGTGAGTGTATGGTGGAGTGTGTAGGGCCGGTGTGTTGTCTGGGTGCATAAATGGGGCAGGGCTTAGGGGTACGGGACAAGTGACCATCTGGAGGGGCCTGTAGGCAAGAGTCTGTCTGAAAGTGAGAGACAACTGGTGACACAGATGCTAGTGGGTCTAGGGGCAAGGGACACAGGGGAGAGATGAGTGAGCTTCCTGGAGAACGTGAGTGGGGAAGGGGTGGGCTGGGGGCTCTAGCTGGGCTGTGTTCCCTGGAACCTGCGTGTATGTCCATCCCCACCTGCTTCTGCACCATGCAGAGAGTGGTCCTGTGCCGGAGATGGACAGTCTTATGGACATGCTGGCCAACACCCAGGGTCATCGCATGGATGACCAGCGTGTGACAGTCAGCAACCTGCCTGGCTTCCAGCCTGTGGGCCCCAAGGTAGGTGATGCTCTGCTGGAGCTGAGGGAGACCAGCCATGATGAGCCCCCTGGCCCTGCATCCCACCCCCTTCTCTGTCCCTCATGTGCCTCCTGGGGATGAGTGCCTGGTAGGAGTGCTTGCCCTGTGTCCCTCCCAGTCACAAGGCCCTATCCAATCCAACACCCAACTCAGACAGGAGAATGAAGGCCCAGACAAAGCCAAGAGGGCCCCAAGGTCATGCAGAGGGCACATTAATGTCAGAGCTGTGGCGGGAAGTCCTGGCTCCTGCCCCCAGAACTGAGGATTTAAGGAAGAGTTGAGAGAAGGAATACCCTCTTGGGAAGACAAACCTTGGGGGGGTGGGCACACGAGCTCATACACTCACATATGTCTGTGTCACATGTGGTCAAACACAGCTTGGGTTCTAATCAAGACCCCAGTGGGACCCCCAAGACCCCCATCTCACATTCAAATATCACCATAAGTGTTGAGAACTCAGGTACCTAGAAGCTTGGGAGGGGTGGGGGCAGATGGTGGGAGGTGGGACAACGGTTCCCACCTGCACCCTCCTTCCAACGTTTATGTCACCTCGGGCCAGCACTGCCTTTGGTTCCTCCCTCTGGCTGACCCCTCTTCATCCACAGGACGGAGTGCAGAAACGAGCTGGGACCCTCAGCCCCCAACCCCTCCTCACCCCTCAGGACCCATCTGCTCTCAGCTTCCGTCGGAACAGCAGCCCCCAGCCCCAGACACAAGCCCCCTGAAGGCTGGGGCCCTCTTGTGCCCTACTTGTGCCCCCCCGCCCCAAAGCAGACAATAAAACACTTCCATGGGAAACAAAGAACCGAGTGTATGTTGTTTCATGAGTGGCACTCAGGCACTTGAGGATTTCGAGCTCTGCTGAGCAGCTCGCAGGAGCTTCTCCTCCCGCTGCTTCCGTAGCCTCTCTTTGAACTCCTCTAGCCGTTGGCGCTGGTGGTGGGGAAGGAGCGGGGCATACCTCAGAGCCTAGACCCCTCTCCCACCACCCTACCTCCTATTTCCCCAGGCCACAACTTCAGAATTTAGTGTCTACACTGTGAGCCCTGTGCCAGTTACAAGCAGGGTCCAAGTGGGATCGGCTTGATCATTTGGGGAGAGGACAAGGAGGAAACCACATATACCTTTGCCCTCAGATCCCTGCTCATGACAGAGGGCAGTATTTCCATTCAAACCTGTCACGGTCACAGGGACCTGGGCCCCGCTGTCCCTCTGGTGGGAGAAAGAGTAGGTTACTCACCTGGTCCTCCTCAGGTGGCCACAGCTCCCTCTGTACGGATAAAGTCACAGACAAGCCAGGAGTCACCTAAGCAGGTCAGCTCATGGAAGGCAGGCATCAGTGCCCTGTGCTCTCCCCCACCCTCTGCAGTGAACCCATGAAAACTCTCCCGGTGCCCACCTTGCGCTGTATGACGGCGTCCTCAAACCACTCAGCCTGATTGGCAATCCAGAACATAGCCACAGGGAAGGTGAGGTAGAGCATCATCTAGGAGGCGGGAAGGGGACAAGTGGAGGCTGCTTAGAGCCTGGAGCAGAGGGTGCTCTTGCACAGCCCAGGAGCGCCTCCACAGGACCCCCACAAGAAGCCCAGGATTAAGGGAGTCCGGCCCTCATCATCCAAGAGACCTTATTTCTGGAGCTCCCTCCGCGTCTGGGGGACTCTCTCTCAAACGACACAACGCATGCGCACGCACCCTGGCCCCAGGACAAGAGCTCCCACACAATCACAGGCATCTCTGAGATCTCACTGCCCTGGCCCCAAAGTCAGATCCAGGGGGCACTCCAAACCCCTCATTCTTCAGAGTCTACTCTCCTAGGCTAGGAGTCCTACTGTGACACACACATACCCATTCTAAACCCAACAACACCCCCCCCCCCAGAGTCTGGAGACTTCCTTCTTAGAGCCCCCCTTCAAACCACCTATCTCAGAGGCCCTTCCTCACACCAGCCCTACCAAGGCCCCCCTCCCCCGGCACCCCTTCCTCGGGGCGTCCAACCCTAAAGGGCCTTCTCAAATCTCAGGATCTTTCTCCCTATTCAGAGCCTCCTCCTCAGATCCAGGGACAAGCCTCTGCCCACCAGCTCGGGTGCCCACTGACCCGAAACACCTCCAACTTCACCCCCATCTCGCTTCTCCCGGGCTACACAGCCGCTCCTGTCCAAAAGCCAACCCTCCAAAATGACAGCAGCTCATTGGGAATCCAGGGACTCGACCACTGAAGTTCATTGGCCGAGAAGCCCTGGATGACATCATCTTCGGGCTCCTACTCTCTGCTTCTGGTCGCTGGCCAAGGATAGGCGGGGCCTGCACACGCGGGACGGGGTCAGCCAATAGGAAGTGAGTCTTGCCCAGGGGGCGGGCCTTTAGGAGGATCTGTCATTATAACGCGACTTTTGCCGTAGCTGGAGAACCAGGAAAATGGTGGTCATGGCGCGACTTTCGCGGCAGGAGCGGCCGGATCTGGTCTTTGTGAGTCCAGTGTGGGGCTGGGGATGGCCCACGTGGGGACACAGGTCCTGGATGTTTCAGGGGGTTGGGGCCTGGCCTCTCTCCAGGGATCCAAGCCCAAATTTCTGATCATAGAGTAGTAAACTCTTTGAAATACCCTGTCGGGTTTCAGGCGAGACAAACAGTAAGAAATTGTAAAGTACCTACTCAGATCACTCGAGATCCCTAGGTAGCTGGGTGTTTGTTCCTTTTTTTCTTCCTTAAGTCATACTGTCTTTTTCGGTTTTAAACCATTCCCTAACCACACCGCGGCTCTTTGGCACTCAACAGCTTGTTCTTTCTACCTAGGGGTTAGTATCTGTTTTGTTCTTACATATATATTGTTATTCGAAATTCCACACATAAGTGAGATACCTCACTATTTGTGTTTCTTTCTCTGATTTATTCACTTAACAAGATACTCTCTGGGTCCACCCATATTGTGGCAAATGTCAAGATTTCATTCCTTTTTATTGCTGAATAATATTCAACTGTATATACATGTACCACATCTTTATACAGTCACCTAGGATTGATACCTAGGTTGTTTCTATGTTGTGGCTATTGTAAATAATGCTGCTGCAAACAGACAGGTGCATATATGTGTTCAAACTTGTGTTTTTGTATTCTTCAGATAAATACTCAGACGTGGTCATAAGGTAGTTCTATTTTTAATTTTCTGAGGAACCTCCACACTGTTTTGCATATTGGCTGTACCACTTCACAATCCCACCAAGGGTGTCCAATGGTTTCCTTTTCTCCCCATCCTCACCAGCACTTGTTGCTTGTTGACTTTTTGATGACAGTCACTCTGACAGGTGTGAGGCGATACCTCACTGTGGTTTTGATTTGATTTCCCTAGGGTTAGTGATGTTGGGCATCTTTTCACGTCTGTTGACGATCTGTATATTCTCTTTGAAGAAATGTCTGTTCGGGTTCTCTGCACGTTTTTAATTGGATTGTTTGGGTTGTTTGGTGTTAACTTGTATGAGTTCCTCATATATATTGGATATTAAGGCATTATTGGGTGTATCATTTGCGGATACCTTCTCTCATTCAGTAGGTTGTCTTTTTTTTTTTTTTAATTTTATTTCTTGATTTTAGACAGAGGGGTAGGGAGGGAGAAAAAGGAGAGAAACATCAACGTGTGGTTGCCTCTCGCACGGCCCCCACTGGGGACCTGGTCTGCAACCCAGGCACGTGCCCTGACTGGGAATCAAACTGGTGACCGTTTGGTTTGCAGGCCAGCACTCCATCCACTGAGCCACACCAGCCAGGGCAGTAGGTGGTCTTTTTTAAAATGTTTAAATCTGCCCTGGCTGGTGTAGCTCAGTGGATTGAGCATGGGCTGCAAACCAGGCATCACAGGTTCGATTCCCAGTCAGGGCACATGCCTAGGTTGCAGGCCATGGCCCCCAGCAACCACACATTGATGTTTCTCTCTCTCTCTCTCTCTCTCTCTCTCTCTCTCTCTCTCTTTCTCTCTCCTTTCCCTCTCTAAAAATATATAAATAAAATCTTGAAAAATTTTTTAAAATCTTTGCATGAAGATGATTATTGATTTTAGAGAGAGAGGAAGTGGGAGAGAGAGAAAGGGAGACTTAATGTTATATGAGAGAGAAACATTGATCAGTTGCCTCCTGTATGCACCCCAACTGAGGACAGAGCCTGCAACCTAGGTATGTGCCCCTCTTGGGGACCAAACACACAGCCTTTTTGTGTGTGTGTATGAGAAGATGCTCCACCAACTGAGCCACCTGGCCAGGGCAGCAGGCTGTATTTCTGTTTCGTTGGTGGTTCTCTTGGCTGTGCAGAAACTCTTTAGTTTGAAGTAGTCCCATTTATTTTTCTTATTGTTGCCCTTGCCTGAGGAAACATAGCCAAAAAGATACTATTAAGACTGATGTCAGAGAGTTTACTGCCTATGTTTTCCTCTAGGAGTTTTATGGTTTCATGTCTTCCATTTAGGGGTGATGCATTTTGAGTTTATTTTTGTATGTGGTGTGAGGAAGTGGTGCATCTCTGTGCATCTAGCATCCTTCCTGAAGTTGACTTCCAGTTTCATGATGTGGTGGTCGGAAGAGACGTTTGCTGGGACTTCGGTGTTCCTGAGCTTCCTGAGGCGTGTTATGTCACCTAACATGTGATTCTTTCACTTTATTTCTTCACACTGTCCCTCAGTGTCCAGGGCTAAAGGCTTTGTTTCTGGTTCATACGTGGTCTTATGAGATAAAGGTCTAGCTTTCAAGTTCTGGGCACAGTTGAACTAGACTCTGGCTAGTGGGACCTCAGGTGCCAGAGGCCTGGTGTTTAGGCAAAGGCATTTTGTGAGGAGCCAGGCCTGCTGTCCCAGGGAGAGGGCTGGTGGTGACCTGGAGTCCTGGGACTAAGGACTCTGCTGGTCCAATTGTGGCGGGAGGATTCTGAGGGTCCAGTTTGGACGAGGTCCTGTTATGTGGGTGTCTGGTGGCCTGGATCTGAGGTGGGCACTGGGGTCTGGGTAAGGGCTGGGAGGCCTAGTGGTGGGGAGGCGCTGTGCTCAGGCTCTGAGGGCAGATGTCCTCCCCATCACCTGCCTGGCAGGATGAAGAAGACCTCCCCTACGAGGAGGAAATTATGCGGAACCAGTTCTCCGTCAAGTGCTGGCTCCGCTACATCGAGTTCAAACAGGGGGCCCCGAAGCCCAGGCTCAATCAGCTATACGAGCGAGCCCTGAAGCTGCTGCCCTGCAGGTGGGGACTGCCTTAGCCGCCCTTCGTGCGCCAGCCCCAGCGCCACCTGTCCAGTCATAACGGACCTGGCCAGCAGGTCTCGGGGTTGCTGTGTGTTCCATCACTGAGTGTACATCCTCTGAAGGATCAGCACAGCCTCCCTGATATCCTGGTCCATGCCCCCATTGCTGATGCTTGTCACCCCTCCCAGGCCCCTTCTCCCAGTTGCCTCATAGGGCAGGGGGAAGGATTCTGGGGTCCATAGAGCTGACCCATCCATGTCTGCCCCCGTCCCCCATGCCCCAGCTACAAGCTCTGGTACCGCTATCTGAAGGCGCGCCGGGCACAGGTGAAGCATCGCTGTGTCACCGACCCCGCCTACGAAGACGTCAACAACTGCCACGAGAGGGCCTTCGTGTTCATGCACAAGGTGGGGTGTGGGTGGCCGGCCTGGGCCGAGTGGGGTGGTGGGTGAAGCAGAGGAGTCAGAGTCCTGTGGCCTCTGTGCCTCTGTACTCGACCACAGCTTGAGGTCGAGCTGACTCAGTCCTGGGGAATGGGGTTCTGGGTCCCACTGACATTGGCTTGGCCATAGGA